GAATTTCATTCAAAATAATTTATAAATACTGTCATAACTTTGTAACCCGCGAGCTGGTATCGATGTACAAGTCATATTACCGTATGCTATAATGGTATAACTCTATTTCACCTTAATGTTATACAACATACACCTGATTGTAAGTTGTACTGTTAAAGGGGTAGCAGAGACTGAGACACGCGATTTTACCAAACTACCAGATACATTATTCAGTCCCAAGACTTGTTATATTGTCACCCTAATCATGCTGGGATTGGAACACAAACTGCGTGTATTCGGTTCCTCTTGTTTCTACTATATCAATAATTCCATACCGTATACCTCGTCAAGTCCAACTTTATTACATAGTTTTGATATACGGTAGTCTCGGGGCTTCAGTAGACACATACGTCAATGGTTTACTATCTCACATTATACTCATCAAAATCTTCGAAAATATCTTGGAAATAATTTCTGTCTGTACAGGTAATTCAAGAAAAATCAGTCAAAAAACATCGAAGACAATTTAGCTTAATAAAATCTTAAACAAAAACGTAGTACAGGTCTAATAAATACCAAAAACCATTTTTTTTCAAACGAACATATTTCTATCTGTCCTCTGCCAAATTTGTAAGTGTCTTTCTGATAACCACTATACGTTACAAGTTCTTTGGAGAAGGGTTATCTAGAAAAGTCTTGTTTGAAATTTAAGTGTCATTTGAAAGCAGGTTGCATCTGTTTATTCCAAATAACATTCATTTAAAATATCTAGTATATCTGGTGTTTTGTCTAAATTAAAACATGTAACGAGTCTGTTTATTTTTTCAAATTTAACAGACGTTTTAAGTCTATCTATATTTTATTTTGATTGGCGATCAAGCGGAATAATTAGAGAATTATATAACCACCTGAAGAATTCTATTAACATGTACATATTACTTACATAATCGAGCGAAATAATTGGGAAAATGATCAAGTATTTTTTTAAGGGTGTGGATCTGTTAATATATGATCTACCGCTATTCATAGCTTTATTCATTAATACAATTACACATATATCACTATATTGTCTGTTGACAAACAAGATTGGGGGTTAGGGTAGGGGGAAATTGGTTCCTCCCTATCCCTCCCCCTTTTCCCACACCCAAATTTAATAATATTATTACGAATCATTTTTTGGATACAACTCTTAAATACGTCACGAAAACAATTAAGGTGAAAAAAAATCCAGCATCTGTGTTAGATATAATACTACACAGCATTGTCATTGCTTGGTTTATCGACGGACAGCAGGGGGGGGGGGAGTGCCAAGGTTCTGTGTGACACCCGATGGCACCCCTTATTACATACGCCCACTTGTAACCAGTATTATAATACTGATAGACAGACAGACTGTTGAGGTTAGGTTAAGGTATAGTGATATGATTTGTATTGTTATTTAGATGTATTAATAACTTGTGTGTAGAGAACAAGGAGTGTGTGGTTTTTAGTGTTTAATTCTGCACAATATCCCACGCGATGCGACAGTCCCGTATAGATAACTCAATAGCCTATATTTTAACTTCATTTCATTTCATTGAAAAATCTGTAAAAGTTGTAGTTTATATTTTAGATGAGTAAATGTAGTTAGAAGATCCTTATAAAGCGAATCTATTTTGATTATTCAAAATTCAGTTTTTAGTGAAATTGGTGCTTGTTAATATTTAAGGCTATTTATATTTCGCCGCGGTTCGAGTATATATGATATGTCCAAGCAAAGCAAAACGCCTTTTCAACCAAATTTCATTTTAATGGTTCAGGAGAGAAAGGTTAATGTGTTAGCCGATGAGACGTTCGTAGATCTACAGCACTGCAGCTAGCCCAGATGAGAAAACGGGCTGTCAAAGAAATGTGCTCAAATATAAAAATAATCGGAGACAGTGAGATAAATTTGTTGCGATTTTTTTTTATCACGGAAGGAGACTAGATTTACTCGTTTAGTTAGGTAAAGAGAAGTAGTTGTTGAAGAAGTTTGGCAAATATGAAAATTCGTTGAGATTGAAGAATATTATCCACCAATGAAGAAATGAAAACAGACCTGATTAGAGATGAAACACTTACAGTAGAGAATCGTGAACGTTTTGCGGTTGAAGGATAGGACACAGAAAATTTCTATTGAATATACAAGGGATGAACCTCTTCTACTATTAGACAAACGAATAAAAAACATAGAAAATGTTATGCTGATGAAAAATGGAGACGAAACTTCTAGAATAGAGAATCGAACATCATATGAAGATAAACATACAAGTTTTGAAGGGCGATGAATTCCCCGCTATGAGAGAAACAACTAAAGAATATTGAACTAATGCTGAAGATGAAAAGCAGGAAAAATCGAAAATGTTTCACATTGTATAAAAATAGACATAAATTTCGAAGGGTGGTGAATTCTTTACTATACAGAAAATAATAAAGAACATTGGACATAGCAGAAGAAGATAAGCAGATACTTAAAACCAGACAGTGAGACCAAGACCTACCTTAAACGTTTTAGGGACGGGCTCCACTTCTGGACTCTTCTGGAACCTGAAAACGTGTGCATGTTATGTTATATGTCATAGCTTAGTTTACGCGTGCACGAGATGAGAATTAAACACTAAAATCCACACTTATTTTGGGGGTGTTGGTTAATATTTCGGTGTATAATTTTGTGTGTGTTAAAACTATAACTGAATGAAATATGTCTCTCAAGAAAAAAATTCGAAATTTTAAACAGTCTTCTGCTACTGTGAATTTTTAAACAAAGCGTGTCAGAATGGATGAGAAATCAACAGCAGGCTGTGATATTTTTAAAGGAATTTTACTAAACTCAAACAAGAATCAAGATCACATTCATAGTGCCATTTTTTGTTTTCAAAGTTTTCATAAAACTCAGTTGTGAATAGTGAATGGTTACAAATCATCGTTTAACGGTAGTTACTATAGTATGCTCAAAGAATCAATAAAAACCTCAATTAAAATCTAAATTTACTGTATGTAATTTAACAAATACAGTTAAAGAATGAAGGCGTATGTATCGGTGGCGTTTCTACGGAGAGGCCCCCCGGCTTTGGCGTCCCCACTTTCAAAATCTTTATTTATTTACATAGTGAAAGCATAGCCTGTGGCCCCCCTGGCAAGTACTTTGGCCCCTTCATCTAATGTTTCCTAGAAACGCCATTGGTTTGTCTGTGAAAGTGTGTACATATGATGGTGATGTTTGTATGGCTTTCTCTCCGACCACTGTGCTTTTTCGGATTAATTTTATGTTTTTAGCAAAAATTCACAAAAAAATTTGCATTTGAAATGAAATAAAAAACTTGACTCTTAGAAGTGGTGTTCGAAAATAAGGCATATCTTAAATTTTGTATAATCAAATTTCCCAAACAAAATACAAAATTTTCGAATTTCCTTGGCGAATTAACTTTAATGACTCTTTAAGTCTACTGCTGTTTAGTTTATATATCCAACAAGAAACGAGTGACAGAATATGATCAGAAACCAGAGTGGTCGGATAGTGGGAAAGGGGAGGGAAGTCAGGGCAGATTCAAATAAAAAGAACTCACAGATTACCCGCTGTTTTCCTTCCATTTCGAATACCAAACCAAGTTTCCTTCTTTCAGTTTCAGTAGCAAGACTGTTTATCTTGAACTGTTCAGTTAATTGTACATCTTGGAATCACACAGAAGTCTTCACAATAATGTCAATCAGTAAACAACAACCACAGAAACAAAGTCAAGTGTGAGAATGCACGTCCTTTGAGAAATTGACCTATTTCAACATTTCACAGTTCTTTCGTTGTCCATTTACGTGTAGCATGACATGTAGCTTTCTGCTCATTCACAGCACCTTTCCAATTCCCACAAAGTTCATCATTACAATTCTAATTCCTCAAAACACAAACAAATATTGAAAATTTTCTTTCAAAAATGGACGCCATGAGTGTTTCTGTAATGACGTCATAACAACTATTTCCACCTTTTAATAAAAGAGTTACTTTATGGACAACCATGACGGCGAAAATACACACGAAACGTAATAGAGATAGGGGTTGAAAATCGAAACCGGGCTGACTCAAAGAAGCACTGGCAGTAGCAGCAGAATTTGTTTTAGGCTGCTGAGAAGAATTGTAAAGAAATGAAAATGAAATGAATGGAATTTTACGTCCTATTTTTCTGCATCATGTGGACTAATGAAGACAGGCAACGCCATGCAGGGTGCAATGAGGGAAATTTTGCCAGGACAGCGGCATTAGACTGCTCTTTTTCGATTTCCAATTGTCGGGGGTTCTTTAACGTGCACAGCCTGTAGCACACGGGGCCTCGGTTTATTGTCCCATCCGAACGACTAGACGCTTTTTCATGTCAGCCCCTCTTATCTACATCACTGACATGGGGAAACTCGGTTGAAAAATCTGAAGGTATTATCTCGACCTATGCCGGGATTGAACCCTGGACCTCCAAGTTAGCTCCCAAGACACATGTAGACATAAGGCCACTGACTCTTTTTGTAGGGGATTTCAGGAACTTTTTTTCTAATACATGGGGAATTGTACACATTTCTTTTAAAAAGAGTCTTTCATCTCTATGGAAATGAGTATTGACTGAGGGGAGACAACTACATTTGTATTTTGGACTACAAACTACGGACCACAAATGATTTTATCTTTACTTAAACGCATTTTTAGACCAAGTTTGAACCTGAAGTAAATGAAGTGTAAAGCTCCATTAATGACATTATACTAGAATAATAAAGCAGTTAATGCAGTGTACAATGAGGGAAATTTTGCCATGACAGCAACTTGATCCTATTGTAACAGTCGTAAGCTTAGAGAAGAACGAGCATCTGTTTATCATTTCTCAGAACGAATATACTCTTATTTCATGTCAGTCCCCCAATCACTGGGGTCGAAGGTATCGTTTCAACCCATGCTTGGAATCAAATGCATGCCTTCCATGTTAGTGAGCAATACTGCCATAGAAGACAAAGAGTGCAACTGTAGTATTTTATCAAATTATTAATTTTATTTTTGGTTACATTTTTATCTAAATATACCAAGTAACAATACATAAATATTAACAAAGCTGTAAAAACATAAATTTATATATTATCATATAAAACAAACCACGGTTATAAAAAATCAGTTATTCTTTTTCAGAGCTGTACATTAAAAAAATACTGGGGAGGCAACTTTCTGTTAATTCAGGATTTTGTACCTTGTATTGCTCAGCTTCTGTCGAACTAGGCACCTGAATTGCCTCTCATAATTAACTAACAATTAATCATATTTTTGTATTTTAAAACAGGAAAATAATATTAGTAATAATATAAGGCGTATATCGCCCAAACCAAGAGTCAAGTAAATAAACATATACCACTGTATCACTGTTAAACAACAATCAGTACATTTTTGTCAATCGGAAAACAATATTTACAAAAACTATTTTTCACGAGTTAGTAAGTAAGTTTCGAGGATCCATGTCTCTCAGAAATTATTACAATAAGAATCGTCGTGGAATGTGTAATTTAACATTGAGAATTATCATAACTACGACAGAATTGATTGTAAAAAGGACTGTACTGTACACATGTCGTGTGAATCTGTAATTAGACTTTTAACTGTATTCAACACATATCATTCAAGCCCATTCTACACAATCTAGATCCATCACCAATCGTGTTGTGTAGATAAATCAACATACTTTTAAATTCATCAATATTCATATAGCCTCCCTGAAAATACAAACCAACATATATTATACATATAGCCTCCCTGGAAATACAAACCAACATATATTATACATATAGCCTCCCTGGAAATACAAACCAACATATATTATACATATAGCCACCCTGAAAATACAAACCAACATATATTATACATATAGCCTCCCTGGAAATACAAACCAACATATATTATACATATAGCCTCCCTGGAAATACAAACCAACATATATTATACATATAGCCACCCTGAAAATACAAACCAACATATATTATACATATAGCCTCCCTGGAAATACAAACCAACATAATTTTAGCCTAAGAGATACAAGTATCTTTTGGTGGAATTGCAGGAATCAGAGACGTGAAAATCGATGATATCAGTGTCCCTAATACACAAACAAGTTTCGATATATTATAGTATAAGTTTTATGTAAAGAAAACCATTTAAAATGTTATAATATACCTGAAAAAGTCTCTCGCCTCCTCCTCGGTTTATAAAACTATTTCGACCATGAAGAGCTCGTCTATTCTGAAAGGTCACCATATCACCAGGTCTCATTCGATGATAAAACTGAAAGTAGAGACGAATAGAATAGAGTTTTACGTCCTACTCTTCTGTATCTTATGAGGCTTATAGAAAGAATCGGAGTTTTATATCCAACTATTATGTAAGTTATTGAAATAGAGGTTTACACCCAACTAACTGTGTTTTGAATTATCATCATTATCCCATGATAACGGAACTGTCCTGGAACGTTTTCAGAAATAAGGGTTAGAACCCTTGTTTCACAGAAGTTAGAAACTAATATAGATAAAATATATGAATACATGTACCTTATATGGCCAGTCATGAACTGATTGGACTAACAATCTATAAGCATCATAGAATGGTTCTACATCATCCTGAAAAATCACCAGATGAATATTTTGCATTTTTTGATTATTCTATAATTACTCTGTATCGGTATCTAGTCTATTATTACTCTGTACCAGTGCCTATTCTATAATTACTCTGTACCAGTGCCTATTCTATAATTACTCTGTACCAGTGCCTATTCTATAATTACTCTGTACCAGTATCTATTCTATAATTACTCTGTACCAGTGCCTATTCTATAATTACTCTGTACCAGTATCTATTCTATAATTACTCTGTACCAGTGCCTATTCTATAATTACTCTGTACCAGTGCCTATTCTATAATTACTCTGTACCAGTATCTATTCTATAATTACTCTGTACCAGTGCCTATTCTATAATTACTCTGTACCAGTGCCTATTCTATAATTACTCTGTACCAGTGCCTATTCTATAATTACTCTGTACCAGTGCCTATTCTATAATTACTCTGTACCAGTGCCTATTCTATAATTACTCTGTACCAGTATCTATTCTATAATTACTCTGTACCAGTGCCTATTCTATAATTACTCTGTACCAGTATCTATTCTATAATTACTCTGTACCAGTGCCTATTCTATAATTACTCTGTACCAGTGCCTATTCTATAATTACTCTGTACCAGTGCCTATTCTATAATTACTCTGTACCAGTGCCTATTCTATAATTACTCTGTACCAGTGCCTATTCTATAATTACTCTGTACCAGTGCCTATTCTATAATTACTCTGTACCAGTATCTATTCTATAATTACTCTGTACCAGTGCCTATTCTATAATTACTCTGTACCAGTGCCTATTCTATAATTACTCTGTACCAGTGCCTATTCTATAATTACTCTGTACCAGTGCCTATTCTATAATTACTCTGTACCAGTGCCTATTCTATAATTACTCTGCACCAGTGCCTATTCTATAATTACTCTGTACCAGTGCCTATTCTATAATTACTCTGTACCAGTGCCTATTCTTTGAATATAAGTACTGTCTTCAAGTTCGTTAGTATATCGAATTTTACTGATTACTTTCATATGAATTGAAATGTCAGCTTCACAATAGTAATAATAGAGTTAGAACGGCTGTGAGTTGATAAAAATTTATAATGAGCGTATATTATCACTTCAAATTACTGTGGACAATTTTCAGTCAAAAATTAAATAATTTCGGTTGAAACTGTAAATAATTATATATCTATCATCGCAAAGTTATTCTAAGACGACCAAGTATTGTTTTGAAGATGATATTCAAATTCACTGTATTGTATTCAATGGTATCGATATAAGTTCAACCTACTAACACAGTCGTGAGGACAGTTAGTAGGTATTAGTTGTAGCTTATCATATTTTTTACACGCGGTTCAACCATTTATTATTCAAAAGAAAATGGGGTAAGGTTATCTTGACTTCGTGTAGTTGAAGGCCACCTGTACTTTTACAAAGATATTATAAAACTTGGGGATAATCAGTTCATGTCAGGTAAATTAAATCCGATCAAAGTACAACCCAAGACAAATTACAGCAAACATATTCAATACGACCATGACAGTGCAAAAAATTCAAGCCCGAATATTATTCGCTTTACTAGGTGAAACAGCTCAATTTCAGCTATCTGAACTCCAACCATCCCTGCATTATAGTTTGTTTGCGAAAATATTAATGTATTTTACCTCGTGGGCTTGTAATGCTCCGGTGAGATTTTCATGATAGGCGACCGAAATAACCTGAATAAAAAAACATAACAATTTTTATAACTAGGGCATTAGTCGTCTGAAGTAGATGTGCTTCTCAACAAGAGAGAAAATATTGCCTGGGGGTCGGGAGGAAGTGGGAGGCAAGGTGATCTTCGACTGACAATGACGTCATCGACCCCGGACATACAGAAAATCATGAGAGAACATTCGACTGAAAGGTTACATTGAACTATGGTGATATGTAGAGTATAATTTTATATCTATTTATGGTTAATCGTTGAATATATTGTTGGAGTGAAATACGTTTCAAAATAACTGATTTATTTTGGGGAGGAATAGATTTAGAAGAGATAGAACTCTTTTGGGGAGGTTGAGAAGCACTGGTCTACAACATGAAGAGTTGATAAAATTCAAATTGAACAGAATACATAAGAAAAGCAACATACTAAGGAGTATTATGTTGTGGGCTAATTTTTTGCTTCCGATTGGATTGTTACTGTATATTTGCGAGTATAATGCGCGGTATTTGGGGCACACATTATACTATTTATAGACAGTGACAAAACATTTCAATTATCATGAAAACCTTATTCTCGAAAATCTAACTATTTGATAATTACTGTATTTCTTAAAAATCTTGATTTTATTTAAGGAAAGTTTTGAAGAATAAGGGGCGTGGTATAGAAAGGATAGTTTGGGTAGAAAAAGAAACTTACATGGCCATACTGATTGGTGACTATCATTGGTTTGTGAATTTGTTGATGAACTGGTTTTTCTCTGGAAAAAGTAATTGATATAAAAATTAAATGATATTTTTAACAATGAAGAAATAGAAATTCTAAGATATTCAGCAAATGTCAACCGTCTACAAAGCCATCTTAGATTGCGAAAAAAACAAAAGGATATTTTTAAGGACTGTACCTTCCACTAGATTTATAATACCCCATTATTTCATATGTTACCGGAACTCGACATAAAACTTCAAATTCTTTGGGATGCTCGCGTCTAAAGACGTCTACAATATGGTGGATATCAGCAAACACACTTTCTCCGCCTTCCACCTCTTCTCCAAACCTACAGAATAATATAAATACCACTTGGACTATTTTTACTACTATTTCACAACGACTATTTCTACACGCTGATCTACTTGTTCAAACCTCTTGACATTGATCTTTCTTGTATCATTCTTACCCACCTACAGCTGGGTCGACTGGAATAGTGAGTAAAGATGACTTAGTCAAAGTTACCAAATTTTTATACGCCGGCCGAGATTACAACCCACAACCACCATTGACGTCATAAAAAACTTCTAACACTCTAAACCCTTTAAAACTCAAAACTTGTATCTCCATTGTAATAAAAATTCGATTAATATAATTTACGACTCCATAACCCGGCAAATGACGACATGTAAAATATCAAAACGTCTAAACCATACACTGTGGTACAAAACCTTTTAAGATCGGATTTGAAGAAATCATTTCCAATCCCCACTCACTTTAAACAATGCAACAACTGGATCCCTGGGGCAGATTCGTAAGTCATTTGGTCCATGTGTAGCCTCAGGCCAATCGACAAATAGGCGGCGTTACTGGCATTCTCTACACTCTTAACTTCAAAAATCTGAAAATAAAAAAGGTGAAAGTTGGTGTTGGAATAATGGAAGAACATAACAACCGTTTTCCCGTTTGACGCACATTGTTTCTGCCACCGTCATTATCTTGTAACGTAACATAACGAAATAAAACATTACGTAATGCAACACAACATAACGTAACGCAACACAACATAACGTAACGCAACGCATATGTAATACGACAAAACATAAATGTAACGAAACATAACGTAACACAACATAGCATAATGTAATACGACAAAACATAACGAAACATGTAAGGTAACATGAAACATTGCGACACGACGTAACATAACGTAATGAAGTCACCTACCTCGCCGTATATAGTATGCTGAATATAACAAACTCTTTCTATCACCTGTAAAAAGACACAATGAAGAATGAAAGATTTTATGTTATTTCAGGTTAAAAAATTAGCCTCCCTGTTATTGACCTCAAGTCTGATTTAAAGGGGACATGGTGAGGGTCAGGAAGGGGTCCCCCCCCCCCCCCACCCCCATTTAACACGTCTCAGCAGCATGACAGTTGAATCAATTAATAATACTAATTTTTCTGTACCATGTTTTTGACTCACCTCTCTAATCTGGTTTGATATTGTAGGAACATTTTTCACCAGACATAGTCCCCGTTCTCCCAATAATTTCAACCACCTGAAAAACATAATAATATTTATCAAAACATAAATGGTAACCAAAAAATATATTTATCCAAAAGAATCAAATTCATGTTCATCAATTTGAATAGGATTATAAATACACAGTACCCAAGTGATGTGAATTTTACACAGTATCCAAGTGATGTGAATTTTACACAGTACCCAAGTGATGTGAATTTTACACAGTACCCAAGTGATGTGAATTTTACACAGTACCCAAGTGATGTGAATTTTACACAGTACCCAAGTGATGTGAATTTTACACAGTACCCAAGTGATGTGAATTTTACACAGTACCCAAGTGATGTGAATTTTACACAGTACCCAAGTATTGTGAATTATACACAGTACCCAAGTGATGTGAATTTTACACAGTACCCAAGTGATGTGAATTTTACACAGTACCCAAGTGATGTGAATTTTACACAGTACCCAAGTGATGTGAATTTTACACAGTACCTAAGTGATGTGAATTTTACACAGTACCCAAGTGATGTGAATTTTCAAAGGTTGTGCTTAGCAGTCAGTCGATTATTTTTTCTTAAAGTTACAACTTACTTATAAAGTCCGGTATCAGTTTCCATAACATCTTTAAAATCTATCTCCGGTATTGCAGTCTACAAAATTTAAAATTTATCAATAACCGGGAGTCGGGAAGTAAAAACTTTAAGTTTGGAAATGGACATTTATAATTAAAAAATACTTCAAAAAAGTTGGAAATTTTTTTTTGTTATCTTTTTAGAGGTTTAAGTTGTACTAATTTCTAATTTTTCTTATCATTTATTTATTGAAATTCATACTATTGTAAGTCATATTCATTTGTATTGATCCTAATATATTTTTAATTTATCATTCATTTTGTTTGTGTTACAACTAAATGATAACCTCTCAGTGTTCTCTGCCCTTATTCTGACTTCCCCGAGGAACGACAAAACAAACTGAAAATGAGAATAGGGCATTAAAATCCTGAAAAAGAATTATCAGTCCATTAAGTACAATTTCAGTTCAAGAGACTTTTAAGGCGAAGAGATAATGAAATATTTTTGTATAAAACAGGAATCGTTGTAGGAGGAGTGAGTATGCGGAGATGAAATGAATGGAGTTTTACGTCCTACTTTTCTGAGTGAGTATGCGGAGAGAGAATAAGCGAAAAAAAAAACATGGAAAAGTAACATGAACTTAAACCAATCCCATAAAAATGATTTATAATGTCGGCTGTCAATGTATGATTCTCTTACTGATATAAGTTGTTAAAATCTTATATTCACTCACAGAGAGATTAAGCTGAATAAAAAAGGCAAAACTGAATAACATGGGCTCACGACTATCCTACTAAACAGAAGACGAACAGTGGGGTTAGTAAATACGAGTATGGGACTACCTCATAGAACGTCTTTAATATTGTATAATCATTTGACCTCTGCTATCACACTGAACACGTTGTAATAGTTTACCTGCCAGAAACCAGATGCTAAATCAATTTTGAAACTAAGTCTCTAAACATAACTTTATAGTTACATGTAATGACTAGAACTCAAATAAAACCCCGGAAATATAATTTTTTTTCTAGAAAGCTAATAATGAATCAATGCAAAATCTCAACCGTCTATCATGTTTGCCAACACAGACTATAGGATAAACATATGGAATATCAAGTTAATTTGTCGCTACTCACATCTGTTGAAAACTTGATATTTTCTGCTTCGCTTTTTTCAGCTAATGCATTACCAGAATATCTATAGCATTTCAAGTAGTCTGTTGGTATATATCCTTTATGAGTTACGTCCCCTTCCTTCCATACCATCTTCATAACTTTATCGTCTAAAGAGTTAAAAGTTACCACGTTGTGAGCTAAAGAATGTTTCCTTTACAAAAATATGATGGCTTTAGTTATCACAGAGAATTTTATTCCAGTTCAACATCATTATAATGGGGTAGACCTAAAATGAGCCCAACATCTCTTTGACATGATTTGTAAGACGTAAAACTCCCTTCATTTTTGACATGATTTGTTACAAACCCAGTTTTATCTAAAATGACATTTACCCTGTTGATTTACGTGTAATTGTGTTGTTTATGCCTGAACATACAGTAATTTAAAACAGGACTAGTACAAGTATCTATCCTAGGCGTCTCAGCTCCTAAATATCTATCAAAAGCAATTTGTAATCAACTAAGTTTGTTTTAATTACCTTAAAAAACATCCATTCTTTATCCTCTTTACTTTTAGATGTTAAAGGGGAAAAGGGGCTGGAGTGCACTATTAATTAAAACAACATCAAAGACCTACCAGATATATCTATATCTTGTACAGTAATTGAAGACGGTATTGTTTCAATCGCCACTGTCTGTTGACCAGAAACAACAAGTTTACAGTCGGGACAATGACAGTTGTGGCGGAGCCATATACTGTGATATCTAGATAGAAAAATAAAAATAAATCAACCGTCAGGAAGAGTGTAACAAATTAATATGACTGTTGCTATAATTTTGTTGCAATAAAAGAGTTGCCTTCCAACGCTCCACACCAAAACATGATGCTCGAAATCCAAAATAATTGTTTGGCAATTGATAGGTAACAGCTAGTGAGCTTTTCACATGAGGAAGTATATCAATTATAAGTGTGTAAGTATTTCATAATGAAAAGTGGTATCAGGTTTCTAGAAGAAGTATATCAATTATAAGTGTGTAAGTATTTCATAATGAAAAGTGGTATCAGGTTTCTAGAAGAAGTATATCAATTATAAGCGTGTAAGTATTTCATAATGAAAAGTGATATCAGGTATCTAGAAGAAGTATATCAATTATAAGTTAGTAAGTATTTCATAATGAAAAGTGGTATCAGGTGTCTAGAAGAAGCATATCAATTATAAGTGAGTAAGTAATTCATAATGAAAAGTAGTATCAGGTGTCTAGAAAAGTAAGAAAATCCTGCCTGGCACCACACCAATAATTGCTTGTTAAAATCACACGAATTTCAAAGTGGTGTGTATATTAGTGGTTCATGGTCGGGTATAGAATTTAATTCATTCTTTTCAATAATTTTAACTGTACATTAGTCCTCATCGTTTATCGAAAATGAAAGTAGAATATAACAACAGCTGAAGACATTTGTTACCTGTGTTTTCCACCTGAATTCCATTCTATCTCTAACAATTTTCCATCTTTTAGTTTCGTAACGGACTTGATAGTCGAATCACCTTCAGCTTTAAACTGGAAATAAACAAATCAATGTATACCAGGTCGGAATTATTTACTTATCAATGTGTATTCCGGGTTAGAAGCAGTGTGGTATTGACAAAAAATATTCTTGCAGGAACTCTCAAAAGTGAAAAAGAACAGGTAGTAACGCCAAATAATTCAATTTATAGCAAACATAATAAAATAGAAGCAAGTAATTCAGTAGTGTGTTGTGAGAAAGTTTGAAATTATAATAAATCTGATTGGCCAATATAATCACTGCTGTAATATCAACCAATCACAGCACTTGATATTAACTGTCTGAACGATGGGTTCATTCGTTTTACAAGTCGTTTTTGTGCAGTTGGGCACGATGCGGCAAGTTGGGCAATGCGGCAAAACGAACCCACCGCTGTCTGAAAATATCTGAAGAGTTTTCATTGCACGAAATCGATCCTGAAACACCATAAATCAAAATTTCATTTGCTGATCAAAGGAATAATTGACCCCGTTATCATTGTCGAACTTTTTCAAGTTTTTCCTTACAATAGGTATTATTATCATAATGTGTATTTTGTAAAAGACAGTAAAGGATATGAATATTGAAAAGGTTAAGAATTTACCTGAGCTGGGTGGATGATCTTTCTGTCTATCATATCTTGATACAACGAGGATGTCGTATCAGTCGCCATTACTACAGTAAACATCCACCTTTTACCACCGGCTACAAAACATTCAAATTATTACAATATCTTTTTAGTCTCTTGAAAGAATTGAAAAGGGGTTGTTAGTCTCTGTATGTATACCAGGGACACTTATAGTCTTTTAGTACTATCAAATCAATGATGTCTGGATTATCTAGTCACCATTGTCTTTAATTACAGAAGCAACATACACCGGAATGTGCAATTAAAAGCAATTTGGACCTTATTCTTGAAACCTTAAGTAAAGCAAAACACAGATTTTAAATAATACAGAAATCTGATTGGATATTGAAACTAAATTTAAAATCAATTTTAGTGATTAACCAATCAGATGACTGAAACACTAAAATTATCTTAAATTAAGTTTTAGAGAGTAAGGATACTAGTGGTTAACAGTGCATATCAATCTTGTTTTCCAGTAAATTCAAATCCTTATTTCCTTGAACAACTGGTTCATCAAATATCTCAGTGTATCTGGTATGGTTTAATATCAATTGATAGAGCACACTGTAGACTATTAAAAACAGTTAAATATAATTTATCATCTCTATCCTTGGAACAGTTTCTGTTATCATCAACAGATAACAATATCTCTTACATGTGCCTCAAATATGCCTCTCATATGCCTCTCATATGCCTCTTGACATTGTATTGTAAATGATATTAAAATATACAATGACGTAATATTCTCACTGTTATAATAGTGCTTAAAACAGAACTTAAAAAAAACATTTTGTTATTACTCAGAGTTAACATATAGATAACTGTTGATTATGATATACCGTTAAGATAACAATATAGATAATCCTGTGATATATTTAAACGTTTGTCTAAAACCTCGACAGTGCTAACAAACTATGACGGATGTTTTCGCTAAGCAGGGAATAATCATTCTTCCGAAACAACTAATTCAGAAACACCAACCACGACTTATAGAAAGTCTACAAAGCTGATGATGACGTACAATCAATTATGATAATAAGAATAATAATTAATAATAGCTATAGTCACGGTTAGTTTAATCCAATTTTATAACTGGAAATATTGATTAACATTTATAATTAATTTATTCTGTATTCTGTTGGCTATATACACCACATAAAATATATAAATATATAAGTCTGCGATGAGGTGATGTTACAATTGAAAATTAATGTTTACATTGTTAAAAATTTATTGTTTTTAAATTTTAGTTAAACATTTAAGCTAATTGATGATGGCTCAACTTAAACTTTATATAGACACAGCTTTATGGAACAACAATCACTGGTTAAAGTTTTATGCAACGTTTCGACGTGTTTCCCCCGTCGTCCTCAGGCATATAATGAGAAGAAGTGATGGGCGAACTATATATACCTTAATGCTTATTATTAAGAACACACAAGAGATAAATGGTTTATTGATACATTACATTAAATTTTAACAGGTACAATAAGAGGTATATAATTCTTAAAATAACATACAGGCTGATTAAGTAAAATAATTGAAGTAAAGTAAATGAATTAAAAAAGATTAATTGAAGATTAAATAAACAACTATTGCTGGTATTGGAGTCTTTTATTAATAGAAATTACATTGTTCATATAACTAACTATGCTTAAAGTTGGAAATTGTTTTGAATATGAATAATTACAAGTTGATAAGTTTATCATATGCATGCGATAAACGAACACCTTCATCTCTGTTAAGGTCAGGCTGATATCTTCTGATGTGGATAGCTTCATGAAGTCTCCTGGTTTTATCTATGTGCTTATTGATTGTCAGTATGTTGGTGTTGTCAAAGTTGACTTTATGTCCTGTTTTCCTTCCCATAGCAAGATGTTCGGCCACAGCAGATGTTCCTTCATTGCCGGGCTTGTCTTGATGGTCTTTGAGTCGAACATCAAGGGGTCTCTTTGTTTCCCCTATATACGAGCTTCCACAGGAGCACTCAACTTGGTAGACACATCCCTTAGGTTTTTGGTTGTTGGAGGGATTCAATTTACCACTGGCTCTGAGCAAATCTTTAAGCGTTGAGTTGCCAGAGAACACTGTTTCAATGCCAACTGACTTTTTCAGGATCTTCTTGATTTGGTATGATGCCTTTCCGATGAATGGGATAACTAAGCGGGTTGATGGTCTGTTGGGATTAGGCTGTTGGTTGGTTGGTTTTGCCTTTAATACGGATCGAAAAGCTTGATGTACAAAGGCTGAAGGGTAGTTGTTGTGCAAGCAGAATACTTTCTTGATGTGTTGTAATTCTTAAACTTTGATAACAATTGTACAAGAGGAAGTGATAGACATCACCTTTTGGGGATCTGTTAAGAGAGTTACCTTTCCACAAAAACAAGTTGTAGACAACGCTTTTAGGGGATCTATCATAGAAGTTTTTCACGGTTTTGCTAAATTACTGCTTGTTACAGGTTTATTGCCTATTTGGTAATGGTTGTTATCTCTTCTAGCTCCGGACTGGGAACAATATACAATATACAATCCGGTGCCTTACCTCGTCTATACCCACCTTAAAACACAGTGTAAACTGTATGGTGATATATCATCGATATGCTTCTATTGTCTACTATATTTATAATTCTCACTATACACCGCACTGGGCTCTACGCTCGTTTATCCGGGACGTTGCTCAGCTAAGATTCGCTTAAGTCGTTCTAAGTTCAAGCTTAAACACTTTTGCTCTTGTAATCGGACTCAATGTTATTTTGGAGCTATTTCTAGAAAACTTACCGCCGCCATGACAGGTCCTAAATTCTGCATTTTGTAACATCAATGATCGTCTAGCTAGTTTCAGGTCCTTACTATTCTTAACAACACGGAGAAGAAGTCGGCTTGACATGTCGTTAGTCTGGTAGCACTTGCTGAATAATAACCGAGTTCCACGGAGAGACTAGGTAAGTTTGTGGTTTGGTAGATGACAAATTTACAACTGGTCCAAAGACTTTGACATAAAAATTAGTTGGTAGATGACAAATGTACGTTCGTTTCCACTTAGCCGCTATCAAAGACTCGCTCGGAAAGTAGATTCGTTGCTTGATTGGTAGATGAGAAATTCAAGTCCCTTCCACCAGATATATATACCGGTATTTATAGATTTGAACTAAACCACAGTAAAGGGATTGTACTTTGTAAATTCTCCTAAATGAAACAAGTACAACTCGGCGTCTTACATTATGTATATTCGGGTTGTTAGTACTCTTGTTTATTTATTATACACCTCAGTGCACGAAGTTTTGTACATATCATGCTTGCACAATAGCCTACTTACAGTACCGTGATAAATCAAACAGGGCGGTGTAGTTTATTTATAATAGTACAATAACATCATGTCGTAAATGTGCATTATAGAAAAGACATGTCAACAACTATAAATGTAAACATCATCTTAACAATGTCAAACTCTTTGCAAACTTCGTACTTATACCTTGACTGCAATAGTCATCTTCACATTGTCAAGCTTTTACGCACTTCGTAATGATACCTTGACTGCAATAGTCGCATTTCTTACATTGTGAAGATGGTTATTGCAGTCAAGGTATAAGTACGAAGTTCCTAATACCTTGATATTGTGAAGATGGTTATTGCAGTCAAGGTATAAGTACGAAGTTCCTAATACCTTGATATTGTGAAGATGGTTATTGCAGTCAAGGTATAAGTACGAAGTTCCTAATACCTTGATATTGTGAAGATGGCTATTGCAGTCAAGGTATAAGTACGAAGTCCCTAATACTTTGACATTATGAAGATGACTATAAACTCAGTTATTGATTGGAATCTATAGCATCTCTGTCTGTCTAGCGAGTTTAACAGACGACATACCTAGTCTAGCATGGGTTTAAATTGAAATTACAGGAATATATTCCTTTAAGAAATAGTCCTACCCCTGAACGAGTTGAGATAAAAATATCAGTAGTAAAGTAGGTCATTGTTCTGTTGGTATAGAAACTCTGTTTAATGAGATATACACGCTCCCTTGACCTGTGGGAATGACATTTGATACGACATTGTTTCAATTATGACACCACAAAGTTTGCTTTTTCCAATTCATATTTTTAGCGAGCTCCAATCAGCTGTCGTAAATGAACTGAACGGTGATGTTTCTATAAATCATTCTATGTATAGCCTACAATGCTAAAAAAAACAGTCTATCTGGTATAAAAGCGTATAAAGCCAGCATAACTTTTGTTCCATAGTGGGGTGTAGGGTAGGGGTGGCTCTTTGGTCTTGGCCCTTTTCGTAATGATTCATATACACTGGTTCTCGTCATATTTGAAATATTTAAAGAAATCGAATCTTGAAGCAGCCCTGTCTGTGGACGTATGTTACCATGGCTATCAAGCCTAATAATAATCGTAGATAGGTCAAGGCATGGCATGACAGGGAAATTATCGTACGTGGTCCAGGTGAATATTCTGTACGAATACAAACCCAATTTTATTATTTTCATGATATGTATTTGACGGGTCAAGGTAATGTCTTAATCGTGCAAGGATGGTAAAATAGAGTGTGACTGGATGTTGAAATCTATAGTCTCGATTTCACGAAATAAAAATAGAGTTTGACTGGATGTTGAAGTCTATGTTCCTAGTCTTGTTTATACCAGACATATTTTATTTTTAACCAATGGAAATCGAGTATCAAATTTTCTTCTCTTCATACCGGAAGTTTAATTTTATTGTCTAAAATTAATTTTTTTCTTATTTTTCGCTTGTTTGTGTTGAATGAAAAATTAAAAGGTTCGTGAAAATTTGTAGACAATTAAATCTGCTAATTGAACAAAGCATGAGGCCATTGTAGGAAGGCATTGAAATACTGTTGGTTTGCATTGGAATTTTAACTCTAAGTGCCATCATGTTTCTTTTGTTCGGTACCCTTCCCATGTAAATTTTCAATTGAGTTTCGTTTCCTACATTAGTCTACTTGACTAATGTCTGTTCACTGATCTCTTGTGAACATTTTGAATGTCAGGTAGACCATAGCAGACATTGACTGGCGATACAACCTTACTTTGCATGTCAAGGAGACAATTTGCGAATATTAATGGCAGGGAAATCCTTGCAAATTCTGTATTTTCCAATTGCCAGCTTCCCAAGCTAGACTTTCTAGGGTTCCCTCGTTAATCCCAGATATTGCTTCCAGCGGGACATTTATTGCCATGAGGTAGTTAAGATTTTGGACTGTTAGATGTTGAATTAGATTAATAATGTTTTCATTCTTATTTATTATTTTTCAGATTCTAAGAAATTTGACAGTTCACCAAGCCTCATGTAACCTAGAAACTTGTTAACTTTATATTTTAAGTAAGTATTAATTTCTGAGTGTTAATCCGTACAACGTACTACGCTTGAAGATATTTTATAGACGTAGCCTCATAATTAATCTTAGTCAGATTAGTCTTAAGATCGTCAGATTTATACAGCAAAATGTCAGATGAAAGTTTGTATGTTGAAAGCAAGTAAATAATAAGAAATTTCACTGATATTTCAAATTTATTTTCAGCTATGAATTATCATGTAGGGCCAGGAATCCAGCCTTCATTCATTCCTCAAGAAAAATCAGGCTACTATGGCGCTAGTGCTGCGTTTCCTCCAGGATATGCTGTTGGTTTACCACAGCGTGGCGCTCACCAGGCGGGAGCTGGCATGAATGGAATCAGTCAGCATCCAACAGCAGCTTTCAGACCCCCAGCCTCATCCTACGGCTTACCAGTGCCTTATTCATCAGTGACGTCATATCCTGCATTATCGTCTGCTGCCTATGGTGCTGGGATGCCATCGACAATGAGTTCTAATCCTGCAGGCTATCCTACTATTGGTCAACCTGGTGTATTACCAAGTCGAGGTTCAGTCGGAATTTCACAAGCGTCTGCTGTACCTTATCAGGTTACGGTAAGTTATGTCACTTTCTCTGGTTATTCTATCCTCAGCCTTCTACTGCTACTACAATATGAAGCTGGTTGTTTTGATTGGTTAGAATTCTCTACCTTGTGTGAAGCTATTTGGATTAAGTGAGCCAATGTCTCATCTCTTCATGAAGAGGCATGGGAGGGCATTTGCATTCATGTAAAGGTCTTTTACCCCTTGATAATGTTATGTTATTTTATCTTTCAGCAATCAACAAATTACTCCCAGCCAACTTACCTGTCAAATCCTGAACCACAGTTGTACAGTCAGCAGATGGGCATGTCCATGCCTTCATCAATGAGTGTCCCCAGCACAATGGGCATGCCCATGCCAACTCCTATGAATGCACCAAGTTCTATGGGCATGTCAATGCCAAGTGCCCCTTCTGCTATGAGTATGCCCAGTTCAATGGGCATGCCCATGGCAAACCCAATGAGTGTGCCTAGCCCTAGCTCTATGGGCATGGCCAATGCCCAAACACAAATGTATGCAACCGCCACACGTTATCCCAGCAACTACCCTAATGTACCGGTTCAACCGACCCATCCATCATATTCATCTATCGGTTACTCAGGGTTACCTGCTACAAGGGGAGTTAACCCTTCATTTCCTAGTGCTATGGGATACCCTGGCTACCCCTATAAATAAGAAGGTTCAGATGAAGTTTTCATGTGAAGTAGGAATTGTTATAAATTCCAGGAGACAGTTTCTCCACTGAATCAACATAAAATCATTAGAAATACAGTAATCTGATTGGTTAATAAAACCTAAATTTAAAATCTATTTTAATTATTGACCAATCAGAATACAGTACTGAAACACTGAATTATATTACATTTTTGAAAATTAGCTGATTGCTTTGAATGAGGGTAGATTCCTTATTTTACTAATGCTGTTGAAAACAATACTAGAAACTATAACTGGCAATTTCAGCTTTGAGTAGAAAATATAAAATTCTACTTTAAAATTGTGCAATCTTTTTAAGATCAAAATTTGAAGCTAATCTTATTGTGGGGGTAAATACTGTGACTGTAATGAATAGAGACTAATATTGTGGGAATTTTACATGGAAAAGACACCTCCTGGGTCTTATTTAAAGCTAAATACAATATAGATTACATCAATTACATTTTATTAGCTTCGTACGGATCTGACCAATAATGACTTCATTTTTTGGTGTTAGGGTGTATTGAGACGAGTCTCGTAATTGACCAGTGCGTTTTGACTTTTTGACTAATTCTAAATGCTTACTGTTAATCTTAGTGTTATGAATCTTGATTTTTGATTAATACTGCTAGTGCTACATGTATTCATTTTCTGTTTTAATATTTTCATGATATTTGAGAGGAGGTTTAACAGTTGAAGCCCGACAATAGAGATGTTTTTCTCAAGCTCTCTTCACTGACATCCCTTAGACAGATATCGCTAAAACCACACCATTGAAACTTTACTTCTATATTCAACTTGCATTTCATTTATTTCATGATTATTTTAGCCAAAGATGTTTGTGTTCCGAATGAGTAAAATGGGATGAAAAACTGAAAAGGCTATAAAGAATTTCAACTTTTTTTTTAGTTAAATAGGTCAATAAATTGCTTTCGTTTCATTGGCTACGTTAAAAATTGTCCTAGACATTATTTGTATATTGATAAAGAACAAATAGATAAACTAAAATAAAAAAACACTACGCAAACAAAGATTACATTTTTTTCAAATATTAAAAACATTTTGATTAATCAGAAATTACTTGGTTTTTTTTTTAACTAAAAATAGACTTTTCTTGTCCCATTTTCAACTCATTTTTCTGCCTGTGAGATTTTTTTAAAAAGACAATTTCCTAGAAATTTTTACTTTTATTTTAAATATCTGCCGTCAGCTTCTCATAAAACACTTGAAAAAACTCAAATTTTATAAAATACAATAATCTTTTCAACATTGATTTTAACGATTGACCAATCAGGTGACTGGAATGCAAAAATCATCCTCAATTCAGAATTTGAAGCCCGGCTTTGCAGACATTATATAATTTCAGTAAAAATAAGACAGGAAATTTCTTTTTGTTTTTTTAGCATAATATTTTGGAGGTATTTTTTTCTGTTTTTTGGGGGCTTTTATTTTTGATCTTTTTTTGTCCCGTCGTTTTTTTTGTAGAATTATTGTTTTCTGGAAAATATATTTTTCTATCCAGTTATAACATTCTTTTGTTTTTACTTTGGAAGTGTTTGGCCCTTTGAAAACATGGTTAGGGGCTGGGGACAACAGGGGATGGGGTATTAGCAGCACACATTGTTGTATGTTGCACAGACTAAAAACAATCCCGTATTGAAGGGCTGGGCCTTTAATAACACTGTTAGGTTAATACTAGTTTGTTTAGATATAATACAGATTAGAGGCATAATTATTATTGGACTGGCATTAAAATAGTATAAAACTTGGTTTATTGTTTTTGACTAAACCCTGTATCTCAATCATTCCAATAATTTTGATGACCTTGCTCATAGGTTGCATCAATGTCCACAGACTTAATTACCTCCAATGATATAAGCAAGTTGATGGGTGTGGCCAGCAAAGTAGGGCATGCTACCCTTCTTGAACACCTAAACCACCCAGTGCCAGGGTTTGTCCAAGTGACGCCCTTTTCAAAGAGTCTTAATCACCTGTATTTATTTTTGATTGTGGTAAATCAATTGTGGTGAGCCATAGATAAGTAATGATAAAAAAGACTTAGTTGTGGTCTAAAACATCTGGAGGAAAACTGGAGTTCTTTCCCTTAGACCGTATTCACTAAAATATTCTACTGGCGATAATCGCCACCTAGTGACAATTTTAATAGCGTCCTCCATGTTTCTCCATTGCACTTCACTGGAAATAATTTGAATTTTTTAATCAACAGTGGATGTCTGCCAGGTATTTCAATTTTTGTTGTTGATGACTGAATTTAAGATTGTTTTTATTGTCAATAGAGCTCTGTTATCTGTCTATTTCGGCTGGCAAAGTTGTAAAAGACAGGTGCCCCTTGGTTTTGTTTATATTCAACTTGTGCATGGTACAGGGCCTGATATTGTCGCACTGTCAAAATAAACACACGTGGACTTCGACAGAATGACAGTTGCCATCATTAAGGGGGTGGGGAAGGGTCTGTTGTATTTGAGAGAGGAGATAAAATGGTTAAATTGTAAGGAACAACGGAGTATGTCAAGTGTCCCTATTGCATTTTCGCATTTTAATCAGGCCTGTAGCTATAGAGGGGGGGCCAGGGACGGCCAGGCCCGGCCAGGCCCCCTCCCCCCCAACATTATTTTGACCCCTCCTGAAATATTTAGACGACTTAAATAACTTGTTGAGTCGCTATAGTTGAGGCCCCCCAATAAAAAAATTTGGACCCCCTGAGATCCTGGGCTAGCTAGTTCCTGATATTAATATCTCTCCTCGGCTTCAGGCTTAGCTCACACTACAGTCATTCGGTTCTGAATTTAAACATCTTTCATCACAAGTTTCATAAACCCTCTCTCGCTCTCTCTGGTAACCTTGACATAGCCTTGACATCCCTCTCAACTGGACTCGATGAATTTCTTTCCTAACTATTCTTTATTATTATTTCAGTGTCTACATGTAGGCCTAGGCTACGAAAGATAAAATGACGATTAATTTAAGCCACTGTTGAATCAAAAAGGAAAATTTTGAACATCATTTAACTATTTTTTGTGAGATTTGCACTTTTCTGAGTTCGTGATTAGTCAATCAACATGGAGTTTATGGATATTCATATCTGTGGGGCATGTCGGACCCAATTTAACGTGGTTGAGCATTTTATCGCTCACAAACAACTGTGCCCCATGTTAAATCAGATGAAGAGACAAGCTAAAATAGACAGTGGGGACCCAGATATAGAACCAAGAGATGAAGAAGCGGGTGGAAAGATTTTGTATAATGATTTGTCTATGATTTTATCCCGGGGGACAAGCATCAACCTTCAGACCATGCCCTGTCCCCCAATGTCTGGTCATGGCGCCACGCCTCTTCGACAATCTCTTCAAGAGTCTCAAAGCTATTCTGAAAATGCTGCAGAAAACACTGGCATCGCTTCTTTCCAGTCTACGTTTTCAAGATCAAAGAAACATCCGGAGGTGATTGCTCAACAAGAATTGGAACATTCAAATGTTAAGACTGTTCCAAATATGGCTCCGGAAGAAAGTGATTATCAGAGAGTAGAAACAAAATCACAAACAGATTACGGAAATCGTGCGACTTCAGATTCGAGTGAAACACGACATTATTCAGACAGAAGAGATCATGTATCGAATCACGGACGCTATCCAATAACGGAGAAGAGGCCAAGAGAAGTTGACAGAACAGGAGATTCACAGTTGATTCAAACGAGTTACTCGTACCAAAAAGAATCGCGAAGTCAACCAGACCAACGAACCACGGAGAGTTTCAGAAGCCCAAAGCACAGGAAGCTGCAGTATCAACCCCAAGATGCATCAGACCAGCCTCATATGATCCTAAATCCTGGAGATTTTCAAAATGAAATAAGATTTTCGAAGGAAAAGGTCAAGTTTCATCTTGAAAACGATGTTGCTCCCCCGCGAGAGACAGTATTACGAAAACCTCAATCTGTGGTGTATTCGGCTCAAACGGAGCAAGTAAATTATCATCAACCTGAAACTGCGCGACATTTAGACTCTGGTCAATATGATTCCAACAGAAATGCTTCAAGGTCATACCAAGGTCATCCACATCAAAACTACCCAGATCATGACCCCTACAGAAGACCAATTGAAACTTCTTCACATCTTCAGCATCATCATCAACAACTTTCAAATGCCCCAGTTCAAGAGCAAGCTCAGTTCCAGCACCAAGTGTCTGAAATTCAGACAATGCCTGAAGATGCAGAGACTCTTGGTCACCATGACTACTACGCTCCTCAACATCCAGACGCAAGTTACACACCCTTGGAAAACGTGCAGATTGAAAATTCACCGAACAATGATCATCAGTATTTAAGCTCGTACAAACCAGACCAGGCTCACGGCCAGGAAAGCGAAACTCAGACTTCTGTCCAAAGACAAGGAAGAGCTGAGGAAGCTGAACCTGCATCGACCTCCAAGCGTTCACGATCCAGAGAAACTCGTCAGAAGGCAGCAGATCTGGACATCCTGAAACAAGCGCTGAAATCTGGAAACGTGAATTTGGAGGAAGGGGATATGAATGAGACTTCAGGAGATCAGCTGACGTACTCGAATTCTTCAAACCTTAATCCTGGATTGCCAATAGAACCACCAAGTAACTTGGCACTGTTAGCTTCGACTCTTCAAGAACATGCAGATCCTCTGTACTCCTCTACTCTGGTCCCTCCAGACGACAGTATACTGACCACAGACGTGGAAATGGTGTCTGCCTGTCCAATTGATCCCATGGATACAGAAGAGGGAACTCAGACACCAATAGTTTCTATGTCACAACCAAAATATGTGGTGGTAAAAGGCAATTATGGTAGGTATACATAGTGTTCAGCTTCCACACAGGCCCATAATCCTCTGGGTGGTTTTGTATTTCTTTGTAACATAAATGTCAAAATCATCTTCTCTTACAAACAGGTAAACATTGTGTGATTGTTGTAATTTGTAGCCTACTGGATATTTCTTGCAAAAAAATATAACTTTCTATTAGTTTGAGTCATTTCATGTAGTCCCACTGTGACCATAGCTTAACTATTCAGTAACATGTTGTTATTTGGTTTGTCATCACACATTCAGATAGTTTACATAGCAAATATTATTAATAAAGTATATTTATAGTTTACATAGCAAATATTATTAATAAAGTATATTTATAATTTACATAGCAAATACTATTTATAAAGTATATTTATAATTTACATAGCAAATATTATTTATAAAGTATATTTATAATTTACATAGCAAATATTATTTATAAAGTATATTTATAATTTACATAGCAAATATTATTTATAAAGTAAATTTATAATTTACATAGCAAATATTATTTATAAAGTAAATTTATAATTTACATAGCAAATATTATTTATAAAGTATATTTATAATTTACATAGCAAATATTATTTATAAAGTATATTTATAATTTACATAGCAAATATTATTTATAATGTATATTAATGATGTGATAATTTTTTATTGTAGAGAAAAAGACGGATAAAAAAGGAACGAAAGAAAAAGGGAAAACGAGAATACATGAATGTGATTTTAAAGATTGTGATTTTACAACAACCTACGCTAAAGATATCGAACGTCACATTCGAACTCACACTGGAGAGAAACCATTCATCTGTAATTATTGTAATAAAACTTTTAACCGTAGTGATAAACTCAAGATACATATTAGACTACATACTGGAGAGAAACCATTTCGCTGTTCTTATTGTAAGTATTATCATTCGTATTAGAGATCCTGGTAGTTTAAAATGGAACAAGATTGGAAAAGATCAATGCCATAGGGATCGTCCACAGACCAGCTGGAAGATTATCTTGAATCTAAGTTGTTATCCTTGTAAACAAGGGTTCTTTCCTACTTTTGCATGCTGACTCTTCAGAACACCTGCAATTTGGTTTATCAATTCAGCATCCCACAGATCCAGACAGGTCATATACATTCTTATCTTACATTATTTATATGATATGTTTATATATTTATAGGTGAGTATGCAGCAGTAGACAGTAGTAGTTTAAAAAAACATGTCAGAACTCATACGGATGAAAGACCTTTTAAGTAAGTTTTTATTATCTCATGGTGACATTGTGATCTCATAAAGACTGATAAATGCCCAATACAAGGCATAGATAAATAAATAAACCAAGTACCAACAATCCGAATTGCAATACATAGTCTATATCAAGCAGGTTTTAAGTTCATATTTTTGAAAGCACAACTCAAATTTAAGACAAATTTCTCTTCTGTTGCAAAACAGTTCAAATATATTTAAAACTTCAGTTAATTGATATTTTTTGTCTTTGTATCTTTGTAGATGTCAGATATGTTCCTACGCCAGTAAAAATTCTAGTCAACTCGTAGTTCATCTACGAACTCACACGGGAGACTCCCCGTTTCAATGTGGGATCTGTCAAGCCAAGTTTAAAATTAACTCTGATTTAAAACGTCATGGTAGAATACATACTGGAGAGAAACCCTATAAATGTGATTTATGTGATTATAAATGTTCTATTAAAGGTGGGTTTCAGCTTCTTTAAAGAAATTTGAATTTGAAATGAAATGGAGTTTTACATCCTACTTTTCTGTACTTGTTTGGGACAATCAGACCAGGCAATGACATTGCTGTCTGCAATAAGTTAAGGACAGTGTCAGAATATTTTTGTCGTTACAAGTCAACTTGTTGGAATGTTATATACTAGGGTTATATGTCCTACTTTTCTTGACTTGTTTGGGACAATGAGGACAGGAAACAATGCAGTCTGCAATGTGGGAATTTTTTGCCAAGAAAGCAGAAGGAAATTTTGTTAAAAATGCATTTTTTATCAACTAAAATGATCAAGGGTCATCAGTATTTGATAATAATGAAAGGATTATCATTGAAATATTGAAAGTTATTTTATTAAAGTTATTGTTATCTATATAATTATGTTTAGTTATTCATACATCAGTTCATGATAAATAACACTAGTATCTTTGTTTTTATTTCAGCCAATTTAAAGACACATCTAAAGATCAACCATTCAGAAGAAAATAAAATGACGTGTACTCAATGTTCATTTTCATCATCTTCAAAGAAAGTGATGCGAGAACACGGTAAAGTTCACGATACCTCGACAACCTACGAATGTGACCTGTGTAAATATATATCGAACAGTAAAAGCGCTCTGGCAACACATCGTAGAGTTCACAGCGAGGAACGCCCCTACCCATGTGACTTCTGCACGTACAAATCTAAACAAATCGGCAACATTAAAACACATATTAAGAAGAAACACTCTGATAGGCTAAAACATTCAAAATATTTTGTGCGGACTGAAAAATCTCCCGAACATTCTTCCACGAGCAACCAATCTTCTCCGAATAAAAATTTTGGACGAAATGCATACAAGTGTAATATCTGTACAGCGTCATTCGTAAGGGCCGATTCGTTACGTAGTCACACCAGACAGCATTGTCGCGATATTGCTATGAACTTAGAGACGACAGCATTGGCTGTACTTCAACTTCAAAACTCTGCATCTCCCAAAAAATCAGATTCTAGAACTCCAACTAAAGACAGAAGTAGGTCAGAGAGCCGAGCTTCACATTCAGGGTCCAAGGTGTCCCCTCGAAAATCTTCACGAAATAATCCTTCAAAATCGACATGTGGATTACAGGATATAGCAGACGCAGCTGTCAAATTGTCTCACATGCCCGACAACGTCAAGCGAGATCCATCACAAGTTGCCATGGAAACTTCTGAACCCATGGATCAACCAACAATGGTAGAATCTCAACAACTCATTCAAGGACAGCAGATATTTCAAATCAATCAACCAATCAGAGTTCAGCAGACAGATTCAACCAATCAGGTGTCTCAGATCGTTTCCTTGGATACTCAGAATATCTTGAATAATCCTGATCAAATGGTGGAATTACCCAACGGAGAGTGGATCAGTCTGAAACAGCTGATTAGTGGACAAATGGTCACGCAGATTCCCATCAACCAACAGATTACTCAGTATCAAGTTCCCGGGCAGACGGAACAACAGTTCGCTGTTCAAGTCATCCCACAGCAAACAGTTCCGCAGCACGTACCAGTCAGTCTTCCGGGTCAACCTCAGATTCAGATTATCTTGCCCTCTCATTTCATCAACCAGAATCAAGATGGTGGAATGAACACGTCTGCTGTAGCAGCGAATAATCCCCAGATTCTGATACAACTCCAGGATCCTAACGCTCTGTCTACCCTGAAACCTGACAACCAACAACAAACTATTCTTACATCTTTTCCTCAAGGTTTGTTTAACTTCAGTTCTTTTAAAATATTTCAAAGTATCAAGATTGAAAGGGATTTTAAAGGGATTTATGTGTATTATTTTTCAAAATTTAACTTCCATATTTTAAGCTTTCAAGAAAATGTAAATTCTGTCCATTATGTCTACTTTATCTTCTATGTGAAATGTAAAATGATTAATATCCCCTCAGCTCATAATAGCAGCTTCATTTTCTAGAAGCCCAGGAAAGTTTGTTTTCTAGAATCCCAGGATGGTTTGTTTTCTAGAAGCCCAGGAAGGTTTGTTTTCTAGAATCCCAGGAAGGTTTGTTTTCTAGAAGCCCAGGAAAGTTTGTTTACTCACAAAACTAAGCTCCTCCGACACAATTCTCTATTTGTCTTACAGGAGGTCAGTCATTGATACAGACAGGAGGAAATCTGACGCCTCTCAACCTACAGGAAGTAGTTGTCCAGATGGAAATGCCACCTAGTGGAGATAACATCAGTAAGTAGAAGCATGATTTATAGTATTCAGGGGTTGGCACACATTCAATTCATGCTAAATTATTCTAAAAGATATTTCCAAAGATGTCCGATAGTGGCACTCAAAATTTTAATTCTTTAAAATGCACCAAATCTTCAAAATAACAAGAATTGTCAAAAAAAATCATGTTTTACTCTGGTGAAGATATGGTATAGTTTGAATTTTCAAAAATCTCTGGATCAAAAGTTGCCCTATGTTTCAATTTCCAAAATTTATCCCTGGTTAGAAGTTACTTGTTGTTATTTTGTTTGTTTTGGTAACTGTTAGTTATAGTTTCCCTGTCTGAATAAATTACAGTTAATTTTGTCAGGTTTCCTGCAATCTTTAAATTTCTCATTGTTCCAAAAATGTTACAAATGAGTTTTTACTTAATTAGGAATTTGACTATTTAACAAAACACAAGACAATATTATGGAATATAACACATTTCTAGTTCTTTAGTAAGGTTAGGCACATAACGTTTCAACACAATATACACGTGTCGTTATCAGATGTGTCACTACATCTGATAAGTAACGTGTATATTGTGTTGATATATTTCTATATGTCGTTTAAATCTTATAGGAATTTGAGTAAATATTTAGGAGAATCTTGAAGAAGGAAAAAGAGAACATTTTTAAATATTTGTAAAGCTCAGTGAAATGAAATAATTGGGGTCTGAATCTTCACAAAAAAAAACCATTCCATATGAGAGTTATTTCCCTTACATTGGTTTGAGAGAAAGTCTATGGTTAAAATGTCAGTGTAATTTAGTATTTTTATAAAGAAAAGTGAAATAATCTCCCTGGCTTGGACACCAGGATTAAAATTTTGAATCTGTTGGAAATATTTGAAGTCATTATGAAAGTGAAGGAGATAATTTGAAAATAACTGATATTAAAAATATTCTTGATGCATGGAATCCCTGAAAGCCAAAAAACATCCAACATTGTCTTTATATCTTCTACAATTTGGAATGGATATTACATCTGTAGTAAAATTCTTGTAACAACTAAAACAAAATGGCATCCCAACGTCGACTAGCATTATTTATTTATCTTTAAAAAAACCAACAAGGAACCCAATTTCTATTACTACATATTATAAAGTTTTCATGTTTAAACGAAGACCAATATGGTATCTTAACTTTACATCGCAACTCATAAACTAATAACAAATTTATTGTCTGAAAATTACCCCATCTTGAAAGTAATAATAATTTATATATGATATCCCCATCTTGAAAGTAATAATAATTTATATATGGTATCCCATCTTGAAAGTAATAATAATTTATATATGGTATCCCCTCTTGAAAGTAATAATAATTTATATATGGTATCCCCTCTTGAAAGTAATAATAATTTATATATGGTATCCCATCTTGAAAGTAATAATAATTTATATATGGTATCCCCATCTTGAAAGTAATAATAATTTATATATGGTATCCCATCTTGAAAGTAATAATAATTTATATATGGTATCCCATCTTGAAAGTAATAATAATTTATATATGGTATCCCCTCTTGAAAGTAATAATAATTTATATATGGTATCCCATCTTGAAAGTAATAATAATTTATATATGGTATCCCCTCTTGAAAGTAATAATAATTTATATATGGTATCCCATCTTGAAAGTAATAATAATTTATATATGGTATCCCCATCTTGAAAGTAATAATAATTTATATATGGTATCCCATCTTGAAAGTAATAATAATTTATATATGGTATCCCCTCTTGAAAGTAATAATAATTTATATATGGTATCCCATCTTGAAAGTAATAATAATTTATATATGGTATCCCATCTTGAAAGTAATAATAATTTATTTTGGAGCTGAACAAGTTAAAAGAAATACACCAGCTTAACCTAATGGTTTTATCAACAGAGAATCAGAAGAAAAAAGGGATTTTTGTCAATTTGAAATGAGATAATTAGCATTATTATAGAATTACTGTCAACATAGATCATTGACGTTAAGACTAGAGGAAGACATTAACAGAACGCGATGAAATTACTAGCACCATGATATATTGAACTCGTTGATTCCCTGAAGAAATCGCGAGGATGATGAAGATTAAAGTAGTAATATATTTATGATTTGAATTCTGTCGTACGTCAATCTACTATAAATGATATTGAAGACAAGGTTTAACAGGTTAATACTGGAGACTGTTTACAATGAAAATTCTATTACTATAATACGAAAGGTCGGCAGTTTATTGCTTTTACAGATTACCCAAGTTTTCTCTCTTTCTTTAGTTTTATTATAAAGACAAATAATGGAGAATTGAAATAGATTGGAACTTGGAACAGAGTTTAAGTTCTTTATGGCTGAAGATGGAAAGGAAAGTCATGTACAATGAGGGAAAAAGTTAATTAATTCAGAATTAGAACAGAAAGAAACAGATTTGAAATCTTTATGTCCAACAATGGCAACAGAAAACAGTGGACATTGAGAGAAAAAACACAACTTCGAAATAAAAAAGAATGAACCAGAAATTAAGTCCTTTATGATTGAAGATACATCCTTCAAATCTGAAGATATATGATTGGTGATAAAGATGAGAAATGTATTATAAGTAAAGATTCCCCCAACTATTTTACCAACTATGGCAATATTTGTCCTTACGTTCCCTTATGTGTACTGACGGGCCTCACCTGTCATCTTATAGGTAGCCTCTTAGCACCTTCGCACGCTCAATGTAAAAAGGACCGATCACTCACCATCTTGTCAAACATCCTTCGCAAGCAACCTTTGGATACAATAACCATAGTCATGACAACCACATGATATACTCTTGTTTCCTCCTAAAACCATGTAGGAACCATATTGACGTAAGATTCAAAAGTTGCCTTAAATGTTGGTAACTAGTATACTGTCACTGGCTTAACTTACTTCTATATTTGAAGGGATTATGTGATTTTCCTGTGTTTTAGTATTTCTTAAGACTATTAAAGAACAATAAAGACCCAAATTAATCCCCGAAATGCCGACTGTTCCCCTTTAAAAAATTAAAATGATTTTGAATAATTATAATTTTTAAAAAGGTTTTGTAGCCCGTGTATGTTTTTCAGGAGGAAAACTTAAAGCTTCTATTTACACTGTTTTGATTTGCATACCTTTCTTCTGATTTCAGAAAACCTCTTTTAACCACTTTCAGGTAAATTCTGTCTCACCACCAGTCTGAATTCACCTTCCATCCCCATGAGGCTTCGATTCTAGTCCACTTTCAAATCCACCAATCAAAAATTAATGAACACAATTACTTTTTTAACTTCAGAAACTGGAGAGTGCCAATCTGAGACAAACTAGAGTTGTCACCCCTGACACCAAGAGATGAAGGGATGGAGCGATAACGTCAATTGAAAATCGTAAGCTATTGATGTCTTGTGACAAGTTGAAATTGGAATGATATGATTGGACGATACTTGTCAGACATGTTACTGTACATGTCATGTGATTGGTTGATATGTGGATCGCCATGACAGTTGTTGTCACGACAATATCTTAATATTTAATCTGAGATGTCTGGTACTAATATTATTTCGAAATAACTGTTAAAATATCGCCAGTCTAGACATCGAAAGTGTGTGATTCCTGATTTCTCTACCATTATCTTTTTTTACATTTGTGGTCAAGGAATTTCAAAAGTTTTCTAGGTAGATTACTAATTTATTTTCTTTTTTATTAATTCATTAAGAAAAACTTTAATTCTTCTTTTGACAAATGTTACTTGTACTCTTTTTAACATTTATGTTGGAAGAAATTCCTTGATTATACTTATCTTTATAAAATCATGAAATATCAAATAAATTTTCTTGTGGTTTAATTTACATCTAGTCATATAAACACCTTCCTAGTAAGGTATCACAAAGTAACATAGATATCTCACAGATCAAAGGTTCCATGGAAGTGAGAACTCCACTCCCTTTGTTAATTCAAGATGCCTGAAACTTTATATTGTTAATGATCAAATCATGTTTTTTGTTATTTTTGGAATAAAATGATATTTGTTTTGAAATGTTACATTTTTTTTGTTATTTCTTAAACTTGTTGAGCAAAGTTGGTGATGTACATTCAGAGAAACATTTAAAATATTAACATAATGATATGATTCCACTTAGATCAGGTGACATAAATAGTAATAATTTATATTCAGTTGCTACTGTGGACTCATATCTTTCTCAACATTGAAACTCCTCCTTTAATTTGATAATAATCCATTCAGCAGGAAAAGAATTGTCTTTCTCATCCTACATATTTTTCTAATATTATTCAAGGACAATAACTTTTGAGAATATATTCTAGTGGAAAATGTTTAACTTGAGATGAAATTTGATTGCCATGGTGATGATAACGTCAAACAAAAACTGATGAAATAATTCACTTGATAACTGCCTGGAAATTATTTTAAATTGTTTTTCAATTCTTGCTGTTTTTGTCATAATTATGATGTTATTGGATATTTAGCCAATAAAATTTCAAGAAAATTGACAGAGTTGAATCCGAGAAAGTGTAAACACTGTATTTTACGATGAAAAACTACAAATTATGTGAAATCTGACGATAATGTGAACATTTGTTATTATTTAATACCAGTTTTTGAGTGATTTGAGGTACAAATTGGCCATAATTGATCAGTTGATATGAACTATTTTACAAATAATTGTCATTTTCTTCGCCATTTTACAATATTTTTATAGAATTAATATCCGATTTCTCTACTTTCTTACCAAATATGGTCATAAATATTTTATCATTGTGATGACGGATATCCTTAGAACAAATGAAATGAAATAAAATGAAGTTCTACACAATCTAGGCTGATGAGGACAGACAAAATGAAGCAGTGTACAATGAGGGAAATTTAGCAAGTCAGTTCCTACAACCTGTATCACTGACAGAGAGAAAGCAGTTTGGTATTTTCTTGACTTATGGTTGAATTGAATCCTGAAAGCTTCCGGTTCTCCAGCAAGTTTTTTTAAAGGGACAGATTCTCCAGCAAGTTTTTTTAAAGGGACAGGTTCTCCAGCAAGTTTTTTTAAAGGGACAGGTTCTCCAGCAAGTTTTTCATAGGGACAGATTCTCCAGCAAGTTTTTTAAAGGGACAGTTATCTCCAGCAAGTTTTTTAAAGGGACAGTTTCTCCAGCAAGTTTTTTAAAGGGTCAGGTTCTCCAGCGAGTTTTTTTAAAGGGACAGGTTCTCCAGCAAGTTTTTTATAGGGACAGATTCTCCAGCAAGTTTTTTAAAGGGACAGTTTCTCCAGCAAGTTTTTTAAAGGGACAGGTTCTCCAGCAAGTTTTTTAAAGGGACAGATTCTCCATCTGCTTGAACAGTTGACCAAATGGAAATTTTTCAGCTAAGCTAATCAGTAATAGTGTTCACAGCTCACCGTCGAAATCCTTCAAATCCATGTGTGTCTAGAATTATCTACGTTTGAAAGTTAAAATGACGACTCATCTTTCCTTTAGATATCTATAGCAATAGAAAGTGAAATTCCTAGTTTGAGATATTTTTGAAGGAATTTTGTGATTTTGTGCAGTTCTAGTACTTCTGAAGACTATTTACAGATATTCCAAAATAGTGATGATATTAAATACATTACAGAACAAAATCTCTTTCAGGCAATAATTTGGTATTTTTTAGAAAAAGATGAAATAGAATTGGGAACTATAACAACGCCTCTTCACGTATTAATCTATGGTGTATATGAATTAGAAAAACTATTCTCTATGATGACTTGGTGTTTAATTTCAATACTATTTCAGAACTCCACTCGAGGCATTCCTCTCTAATATTCAATTCAATGCAAATTCTACGTTTTTTTTCTCAAAAAGGAAGAAATATAATCAAGAAATAATTTGATATTCGTACATTTTTTGTCTGGTCAGTGTAATTTTTCTGATAAAAATTGATTTTAGAAAATGATTTAGATGACTTTTGTAATTGAATCTGGTGAGTAAAAAGACACGATATATCCCCAGGGGCGAGGGTTTTTGATGAAATAGAGATAATATTATTGAAACGTCTTTTACTATCACCTTATTACCATTTATATTAACTTTCGCTTTTCTTCCTTTCTGGCTTTTAACTTGTCATAATCAGGAGTGTTGATTTGGTTGTATTTGATGGACTCGTCTGGCTCCTACTTGAAATGACTGATCAATAATTAATGGTTTTGTCCATCTGTTGGAATTTTCTTTCTCGCTTGTTGATTGCTGTTCATTATCAGGAGTGTTGTTTGGGTTATATTTGATGGACGTGTCTGGCTTGTCCTTTAAAATAACTGATCAATTAGTCATGTGTACGACATCCATATCTGAGCAAACAAGACAATTCCGTTAATCAAAATCTGGCAAGTATGGCCAAATCAAGAGTAAAAGTTGTATAGTAGTGGACTCCTCCAAAGAGAAGTAACATTAGGTGTTTCGAATATTAATCTGTACAAGCAAGACATTCCAATAATCAAAATCGAGAGTAGAAATATTATAGTAGTGGACTCCTCCAAAGAGAAGTACCATCAGGTGTTTTGAAAAGAGTGAGCATGGTCTGCTTCGCCCGCGACACCTGCCACTACCACAATGGTCAAAATCATGAGATACAACCAGATCAATTCATGCCTGACCAAACAAATCAGCCATGACTGTTGAATCTAAAATATATTTTTGGTGAAAATTTGTGGTGTCATAGCTGTCAGACGATATTAATGTTCTTTCTTCTACTAATTAATTTCAACAGACTGAACATATATTACTATCAAACTACCAAACTAAAAATATCTCAATCTTAAAATGATGGCAAAATTCCAAAATAAAGTATTTTAGTTGTAAATTTATGGGAATTTTGTGATTTGTTCGTTCTTTGATTTTCTGAAAGAAATCAATTTTGCGTCGGTTTTGATAAAAAGTTTTAATAAAGTTGATGGAGGAATTGACGTTATTTTTCCGAGTTAATAAAACAATGACGTTCGCGATAAATTATGATGTCATAAATCTCGACCTGCGGACGTTAAAATTCTAATCCCGTTCCGTATTTAATGTATAGAGGGCGACACTTAATAATCGATGGATCTATCGGGAACAGAATTGTTAACGCAAGGTGGAATGAATTGCTCGTTTGGATGAAGAAATGTCAACATTTTGAGAATATTGGTTCTGATATAACGAGGGTTCAATCATGGTCGTGGTTCACATCGGTGGCAGTGACGAAATTACTGCTATTAAATCGTAATAAACCTCGCTCATATCTCATCTTCTAGATTTCATTTTCATCTTGATTCGTGCCATCTCGGCCTCGTCTCGACACTTCAGGGAATACTACCATCATTATTCCCGCCAAAATCATTTCTCTCAACTTATGACTAGATTAATTTTAGATGCTCTTTTTGATCAGGACTTGACCTGGGATTTGTACTGATGTTAATTGGTTTGGATAGTTTAGACTGGGGGGGGGGGGGTTGAAGGAAGGGTTGTTGGCAATGAGAGACTGGGGCAAGGGTGGGGGAAGGGTGGTAAAAGGGAGGTAGGGATTAAAGGACTTGACCTGGGTTTTGTCTGATGTTAATTTGGTGAGAGATCAAAGGGAAAAGGCCTGGTTTTCAAATTAATTGTTTACATCTGTCATAATTGTATGAATAGAATGATTTATCAAATTATCGGCATGATCAACAATACTTTACACTAGGATCCATTCAGATGACATTCAGTGAGTTTACTGTTTCCATGACAATCTGTCCTGATGAGGATTGTGTTTCTGAAACATTTGTTTCAGTATGATCTGTAGTAATATACAACTGATATAAAACTGTTTATTAAGTTGTGAAGTTGTTTTACGATAAGATCTATCTAATATAAATTATTTTTAAAGTTTCAAATATCTTGACTATGGTCCTTCAAAATTAAAATCCTGGGAAATTGCTCTGAGGTGATAAAATGAGTTGAAATATTTTAACGAGGTGAGTTATATCGTCAGTGTTCGTGACTAGGGTATGATGGGAATGATTTGACGCGATGTGAAATGACAGGATATTTTCGCGACAATTGATAGATCTGAAGAAATCCGTCCGATTTTCTTGGAATATAATTTTAATCTAATGACAATTGGAGATGTGACGTTATAACAAAATTCTTCACGATGCCAGGATTATTGCATAGAATTGTCTTAATGTGTTTTTACGGTGAAATTTCACCATAAACCTGTCAACAAGCATTATCCATTCTAAAAGCTGAAGTAATATTCGTCCTAAAACCCAACATAAACAAACTTTCAAATGACATCCACGGATTATTCTACGAGCTTTTCTTAGTGAAATCTTCACGATGGAGTTTTTACGAGAAATTAGTATAAGGTCGATTTCTATAAAGCTATGACAAGATGAGATTACAGTCGGCAATAAATTGTTTCATTCGCGACATTTTTATACTCGAAACGAGAAAGAGAAAATGAAAAAAGACAAAGTATGTAATATAGAGGTAGAAAATGATAAGAGTTTATTATTTTGAAGGCTTTATTGAGTTCAATAACGTTTAATGTTTGGATTACTCCAGATCTCAAACGATTTACCAAATTATTTTCTTTCTAAGTCATAAAAACTACTTTCTTAATATCAATGGAGAGAAACAGAAATACCAACAATTTATCATTAATGTAGACAGAATTAGTCTTAAAACCTGAATTAGTATTAAAACCTGAATTAGTATTAAAACCTGAATTAGTATTAAAACCTGAATTAGTATTGAAACCTGAATTAGTATTGAAACCTGAATTAGTATTAAAACCTGAATTAGTATTGAAACCTGAATTAGTCTTAAAACCTGAATTAGTATTGAAACCTGAATTAGTATTGAAACCTGAATTAGTCTTAAAACCTGAATTAGTATTGAAACCTGAATTAGTATTAAAACCTGAATTAGTATTGAATCCTGAATTAGTATTAAAACCTGAATTAGTATTAAAACCTGAATTAGTATTAAAACCTGAATTAGTATTGAAACCTGAATTAGTCTTAAAACCTGAATTAGTATTGAAACCTGAATTAGTATTAAAACCTGAATTAGTATTGAAACCTGAATTAGTATTAAAACCTGAATTAGTTTTAAAACCTGAATTAGTATTAAAACCTGAATTAGTATTAAAACCTGAATTAGTATTAAAACCTGAATTAGTATTAAAACCTGAATTAGCATTAAAACCTGAATTAGTATTGAAACCTGAATTAGTATTGAAACCTGAATTAGTATTAAAACCTGAATTAGTATTGAAACCTGAATTAGTATTAAAACCTGAATTAGTATTAAAACCTGAATTAGTATTAAAACCTGAATTAGTATTAAAACCTGAATTAGTATTAAAACCTGAATTAGTATTAAAATCTGAATTAGTCTTAAAACCTGAATTAGTATTGAAACCTGAATTAGTATTGAAACCTGAATTAGTATTGAAACCTGAATTAGTATTGAAGTATGAATCTCTAGAAATTTGATTTGGTAAAAGTTCTTTAAAATGCACTAATTCCAAAACATCAGACTAATTATTAAAAATAAATATCACTGAGTGGAGAGAGAAAAAACATATTTATAACATATTTATTAATTAGGTAATTAACCAGTTAATTTTAATTAATAATTAGGTAGGCTAAACTACTCTTAAAGCAGGAGACTCCAGATATTTGATTTGGCAAAAAATTGGAAAAAGCATTTTAAAACATTGTTTGATGTTGATAGAGAGAAGACGAACGACACATTATTAATATTGACCAACATATTTTTGGAATGCAACTCCAGAAACTTTGATATTTCAAAAATTTGGGAAATATTATTTTTTACACAATATAACACTTAACACTAATTATTTAAAAATATTAATTAAAAACTGTTTTTTTGTTAAAATATGTAAAATTAAATCTGTTTTTTTTAATAATAGGTAGGAGTATTAAAGAAACAAGTGTAAAATTCTATGATTCCAAAAAACCATACAAAACACTAATTTCTAAAAATATTAATATCAGTCTTTTTGGAAAAATATGAAATATTGTGTGTTTTTTTGATCAGAGGTAGGAGAATAAGAAAAACAATAACTCAACTATTTATTCATTATCTGACAATTATCTCAAAACTTGGATACAAATTTTAAACCAAATAAGTTTTAAATTTAACATCAGAGTTTCTTCCCTTTAAACATTGAAATTTTAGAATTTATGTGAACTTTAGAGGACTGGAGCAGGGAATAATCTTTGCCTCGAGTTGTGAGAAACTTACCCAAGTGCCATAATTATTCTCAAAAAAACTAAACCTAAGATTATTTTAGTATTCTAGTTATCTGATTGGTCAAACAATAAAATCAATACAAAATTAAATTTTTGTATTTCTTAAAATCTGAATTTCATCCAGTTGAAGTTTTTGGAAACTAGCCTTGGTCTAAATAGATACAAAACAAAACTAATGTTAAAATTTCGATGTTTCAAGATTAATTATTTTCAGGTCACTCAAATGAACATGGTAATATTATCACCTCATTAAAAAGTCGTCTAATTACATTTTGGCAATTAATATCCTTAATCCCTGGTCCAATTAGCCGTCCCTTTCTAATCCTCTGGTCATCGCCTAGTGTCCCCTGGTCACCAGACTTGACCAACTGACAGCTGTCAGTGTCTGAAAATACATCAGTATCTTTCATCTTATTCTATAATTAGCCTGCTTACTTTCAGTATGTTACTCACTTTTAATAAATAATGGATGTTAATGATTTTATATCTTGGTTTTAGGGAGATTCAAAAAGGTTTTCTGTCCTCTATATCTTGGTTTTAGGGAGATTCAAAAACGTTTTCTGGTCTTTGTATATTAATTGTGTCCTGATTTGATGTGTTTTGTTTGTGTAATTCCAGAAAAATGTGAAAATTTCACTATCACCAGTACCATTAATTAGTACAGCAAAAATTGAATCAAAATGGTTCTTTGAAAGATTGGGCTTTACTGACAGTGGAAAACCAGATTTAAATTGCTTAAGGCATTAGGCAACCTTTGTTCGCATTGAATCCATTTTCTTGTCAAAATATACCAATAGTATAACATTTAAATCTGGTTATTGTTATTTAAAAGAGAAGTCCTGACTGGCACGGGGAAGCAAATTGAAAAGCTAAGACATTTTTTTACTTTTTTCCCGTGGATGTTCAGGCCATTGAATATATGATTTTTCCTACAGACGCTCTGTGAAGTCAGAATGCAAACCTTCGACAGTCTGATTACTTCGTACAGAGCTGTAGTCTGTGTCATCTTTCGGTGTGAATCTCATTTTTCACGGAGAATATTTCACACGTTCAGTTCATGTGAAATTATCCTTTTTCTTCATTAATATAATCGGGTGTGGATGATGGATGACGAGAGATTGGGAAGTTCCAGACTTGACACTATTTAACCTCCCTACCTTCGTTTCCCGCCACGTCACAAATTACCTCATTAATTATTCAAATGTTATGCATCAAATTTTCTCTGATTAGATTAGAAATCTTCGACACTTTTTTCAAATTTAAGAAATTATCGTCAGACATCTGACAATTCTAGATTATCTGATATTTTTGAAAAGTTCACGTCATTTTTTTTTTAAGAAAGTGATTAATTATGGAATGTAATTGATATTCGAATGTGTTTTTTATGAATTATTCAGTTTTTATTCCATTTGTAGCTTGTTTATTTCGATGTTTTTGTTGTATTATACTGTTTTGTCAGATAATTAGCCCGAGAGATAACAACAGAGTTTTATATTTTAAGATTTTAAGGTGTAAACTGGTTTGTGAGAGGTTAAATAGGTGGATTATTCTTAAAGAAATGTACTTTTGCATAGTTTGTGGGCCATGAAGGGGACTGTTAAATTTGGATAACATACATAGGCTACAGTATGAATTGGTGCTGGGGCTCAGATTTTGTACTCAGGAAATTTGAAGAATTAAAGACCCAGAGAACTCATTTCTGACAATTTTGAGGTGCCAAAAACTATCAAAATCTCTATCTTTTTGATTTTGTACAAAGACACTGTAAATGAAACAATCTTTGCTATACTGAAGAAGATTTCGCTGGGGCTTAATTCTCACTTGCTGGGGCCCAGCCCCCACGGACCCCACCCTAATGACTAGGCTGAGAGGGGACAAAAATAATCTAAGGCAGATTATCGGCCAATTTGTAACAAAACTGATTTAGACATTTTTAGTGAAGAAATTGTTTCTGTGGTGAAAAGTAATTAGTTATTTATCAAACTACTCTCAAAGAATCAGTCTATATTTTTATAAATATAAAGTTAGGCCAAGATAAACTATTAGAGTCAGACGTCTTCTTGACCAGCTTCCATCTTAACCTGAAATTATAACCTGAAATTATACCACACAATATTCATGTCAGTGAATGATTCAAAACTCTTTCCTTATCATTATCCAAGATACAATTTAAACGAAATATCGCATGTTCAGAAACTTATCAAATACGCTTTGACTTTTTAAATTGCGTTAATCTTTGTAATTATACGATCGTATGTCGGGTATTTACTCGTCAAACTAAGGCCCATAACTGCTTGTTGATCAATAATTATGAGAGATAATGACGGTGTTTGGACGTAGCGATATCGTGTAGTATGTATTACTAAATATAAACTAAGACGACTAAGATGAATCGTGATGCGGTAAATAATCATTAGAAATAATGATCGTTCAATTCACGATATCTTAATATTAGTTTTCTTTTCATTTCAACTTCCTTAAAACAAACATGTCAGCTTTTTTTTAAGATTATTTGAATCTGAGATTAATGGCGACTAGGTTTGTCAACTCAATATCCCTTCAGAGAGTCCACATGCCTGATGATAATCAATAACAAGCAAAATTCTTCTTTGATATTGTTAATTTGGTAATTAGGTTTATCATCTCATGCAAACTTTTAGAGAGTTCACATAGCTAATATTGTTTATTTAAGCATATACCTTGACATTTGGAAATGAAAAAGCCAAAATTTCCCTCAATGCTCACTGCATGGCATTAACCTTCTTCGTAAGCACAATGTGAAATGGATTTTCAGATAAAAACTTCATTTCATTTCAACCATTTAAAATAATTTGATCAGAATTTTGCTTTGAAGTCTCAGAGGCCATAAAAAGTTTACGAAATGAAATACTTAAATCCTGAGGGACAACGAAACACAAATAAATCTATTTCAATAACTTTATTTTTCACGTAAAAAAAATTCATTTCTTTAAAAAGATGGAATCGAGTTACTGGATGTTAATGGAGAAATAAATAAATCAAAATTCAATAAAGACATTTCGCCACAAAAGACTAGTCTTCTACGTTATCATTTTCCCATTTTCAAAATTTGATCTAAAACGAACGGTGGGTAATCGATCACAAAATTTAGTCTTGTTCTTAGAATCCTCAGACTAAAAAAACATATTAATAACGGAAAATTGTAATTTAAGGAGGCATCTCTCCCTTCGGAGAAAAAAACCCAGCCTCCTAGAGAAATTGAAATATTTCTAGTTATTATTATCTCTGAACCTGCAGGCTTTAAATCACATTACAAATTTTCTTTGCAATTTTCCTGCCATTATTCTTAGTTGATTCAGTAAAATTATGAAGATCTTTCACCCATCAGGCAGACATTTATCAGATATCTTCGAATATTATCTTGATATTACATCTTATTGACAGAGTTTTTGGCATCTCAAAATTATCAGAAATAAGTTCTCTGGGCTTCTAATTTTTCAAATTTCCTTGGGGGAAGGGCCCCTTGGATTCCCAGCTCATAGAACTTGTGGTGCTGTTTGTCAATGTGAGCACACAATCTGAGCCCCAACACTGACTCACTACTGGCAATGGAGCTGCCTACATCACTGATTGTTTGGCACAACCAAATGTATGACATCAAGATTTCAACTCTCTAGCTGATTGAGCTACACCCTGTCCAGTATTTAATATTGTTAAGTAGAGTGAAGATAATAATTTATAAAGATAATAATAAAGTAAACTAGGTGATGATATTTTATTGATGACCAGTTTACCCTGGTGTTATTTCTATATTTCATTTTCTACCAACAATATCTAATAACTTCACTCTAGGCCAATATAACTTACATCCCCTAGTTTAGATTCTCTTTTCTCTATCTAACGATACCACTGGTATAAAGTTCAGATGGTGTTTATAACTAAGACCCTTGCTTGTATTGTTGGATCCTGGTTGATGAGGTGGGGTTTTTTCTTCTTGCCAATACAGGTAACTTTCTAGGACAGAGGACATATGATTCTGCTGGTATTTCTTTTCTTTTTTGGGGATAAGAGCCCAAGATCTCAAAGCCCTGTATACTGCCATGCTGCCATGCTTTGTGTG